CCACTTTGTTCCCCTTTGGCGTGTCGCGAATATTCGAAAGCCGGGATCGAACGGGGACGAGAGGAGGTTTCTCTCTCGTGTCTGGCCGATCCGCGCGCGTCCTCTCCTCCTCGTTTTCGCCTGAAAAAAAGTAGCGCATGTCGCGACACGCGCCACCTCCTCCTCCTCCTTCTCGTCCCGATAATTAATATTAATGTCGCGTTCCACCGTGGTTTTCAGCTGAGTCAGCCCGCAGAGAACATGTACGGCTCCTCTTTTCCTTTTCTCTCCTCTCTCTTCTATATTTTTCGCGTGGCGTTGCCGCGTGAGCCCCCCCCGGGAATCGATGAACACGGGTGAAACACGCGAAAAACCAGTAACCGACGATCTTTCCGCGCCTCCAGCTACACAGTTCCCCGTCCTCTTTCGTGAAAACGACCAAGGGAATCGACCGCGATTTCTACGCGGTTTTTACGCGGCTGACCGAACCACACAAGCAGCACCCTCTGTCGCCCAGCAGGCAGGCGTTCAAGGGGAAAATGTGCCTCGATAGCATTACGCGAGGGCCATGAACGTATACGAGCGACGGTTTAGGCTCTTTCTCTTCAGCTCCTCCTTTTCTTCCTTTTCGCCTACCCTGTGTGCCTGCGTGTATACGTGCCAAGGGTGACGCGGTCACGCCATAACCCTCTCCTCTTCTCTCCTTTCCTCGTTCTCTCAGACGGAAGGGCCCGGCGAGGCTCGTAAAGACAAAAATCGGGACTCTTATCGTTGGATAAATTTATCGTCACGACTGGCACAGAGAGACCTTTGGTTCTGTAGGGCGCGTGTGCAGGCAAAGATACGAAAGGAGGGAACGCGGTTTTATATCGTCGACTGGATTGTCCGGCCCGGGGCTACGAGGCACACATTCCGTGCCCGCCACTTATTTCTCGGCAGGGCTCCCCCTTCCTCCTCTCCCGCTGGCCTGCACGCATCCCTAATACGCGCGTGTACACGCTAGCCTGCCCGCGCTTTAACAAATTGTCCTCGATGTCGTTTGCTCGTGCCGAGGGGTTCGTTCGGGCGTGAAGGAAATCATTCCCTCGCTTCGATTTCCGTTCGTTCCTCCGTCTTAACGTTTCCACGTCCAAACGAGTCTGTTTTATCGTTCTTTTACACCTGTTACGATCCTCTGTGCGCCCGTTGATACATTCCCGATCGTTGACGCGGTGTGTCGCGTAAACGCTGCGGATAAGAGGATAAGAATGTGGTTGAGTGAAGGTAGGGACTCGGGCCGGTTTATGACCGAGAGGTCTGCGGAGAAATCCGGTCCCAACGCCTGACTCCCCCACGCGCTAAGGGCTGGGTCAGGTAAGGACCCCCAACTTGCGCCAGGGTTTCCCGAAGGCAAGAGAGGGGCGTCAAAGCCGGCATATAAGGACGCGTTAGGAGCACTGCGGGCAGAAATACAAGAACTGTAAGAACTATAAGAATTGTGAGAATTGTGAGAATTGTAAGGGATTGCAGGAGAGTAGATTGAACCGCGTAGTCAACGACGAAATAAATATAGTTTTTTAAATTATCGGACCAAGCACTGTTTACACTGAAAACCCTTACATAATGGAAACGTTAATGTCGAGTGATGGTTGCGCGGTCGCGTGAAGCTCATCCGAGACGCGATAATACATACAAGGACGGCCTTTACCTTTCCGTGTCTCCGGCCTCCTTTGAAGGAGCGCTTTAATTCGCGATAAGTACGTAAGGGGGAATTTAACCGGTGGCGTGACCAGATACCTACGAGCTAACCGCCTACCTGGCCGGACAGCCACTATACTATATGATAAGATAACGACTCTCTCGGACGTCCTCCTTGTGCAACGCGTTCTCTTTATTGGCTAACAATTTCGTTCGGTCGATCGAGTCGCGCGTTCGCGGTCTCGGACTGATTGCAAGGAGGGCTAATCGCGACCCTCGGTCAAAGAATTGGTTGGACTGGCGCGCGTTAGCTCGTTTTTAGAGAACCACCTTTCTTCTTTTCGTTTCTCGGTTCATTTTCTGAAAACGATCTCGCGTAATTGCACGTTCGACGTCGTTGCCAGCTGACTACCAGGAGTAGAAACGGTTTTTAACGGGTAAGCCGTACACTTTCTCCGAGCACTTGGAAGAAGTGAAAAATGAGTTCAAGGGAGAACTGTCTGTGCGGACGACTTTTCCGCTCGAATTCGCACGGTATCGGTGTGCAGCGACGGGCAATTGGGGAAAAAAGGCCGACGCGTTTCCGGACGAAAAACGGAACTGAATGAATACCATTCTCTCCTCGTTACCATGCCAATTAATCCCGCTCGCCTCGCAGTCGCGGATAAATCGGTTTTACGATTTCGACGAAGCGTGGCGGGACTCGAGGCGAAGAACGGAGCACCAGAGACGGGAACAGAACGATGCCCGTGTATAGAATGCGCGCGACACAACCACCGTGACATTATACGCTAATCCGGCGTTGAAAGAGAGACGAAAAAACTTGGAAAAAAGGAACTAAACGGTGACTTGAAAGCATCTCCTTTTGTATCGAGCGAGGGAGAGAGAGAGAGAGAGAGAGAGAGGAAAAATTGGGACAGGAAGAATGGAAATGCGACGATCGGTGATGATATTTGATTACCTTAATCTGACGATGGGGTTTTGGGACGCTAGAGATATCGAGGCTTAATTTCTCCACGTTCGATTGTGTAGCGCGGTCTAATTGAGATCGACGGTGATATCGAGTGATCGCGGGGAAGAAACCTGGTTACGTTAATTTGCAGAGAATTAGCGGAGAACCGCTCGAAAGGAATTTTAAGGAGAACTGGTCGCGTGTGTACGGTACAGATAGAATGGTCGACTCGCGTTCGTATAGAGAAGGCAGCGAGTTTGGTGAAGAACCGACTTGGAGTGACTATTCGACAGTTAAACCGGCGTGTAATTAATTCCTGGGCGTGGAGAAAGCGAATCGAGGAGGCCGATAGCGGGTGGTGGCACTTGTGACCCGCGTCACGATCGTATTCGGCCAAAAGCTGAGTAGTCGAGACTTGAACTCGCTTGTCTGGAAACGCCGCGGGCACTCTCGTTCAATGGACGATTCCGCTACGTACACCGTAAGCGACGTTATTGTCGTGGCTACGAACCGCTCCGGACTGGTCGTCGTCGCAAAGCCAAAACGAGACGACAAATCGCCGATTCTCCGCGCGCAGTTATCGATCCTAGTCTAGACTCGCGATTCATTCGAAAACTAATTTAACGCTCGTTAATACGCGGATATCGAATTTGCGCCCGATCGAATTCCCCACTGCCGACCGTTCTCTACTCTGCTCTACTCTCCTCTCTCTGGGATATTTTTTTAGCGAGGAAATCGCTCGCCTGGGTATCGTTCCTCTCGAGATATCGGTTTCAGGAGCATCTGCAAGGGAAATCGGTGATTACCACAGCCGAGGATTTTAGCGAAACTTTCTTCGACGACGACGACGACGACGATTATTTACAAGCCGAAATAGAATTTGCACGCGATAAAGCAAGCGGCGAGATGCAAATCGCTACGGCCCTGGTCGCGTCACTACCGAGCACGATCGATCCCTATATATGTATGTACCTACATACGTACCTTTGAAACGTGACCGAGGATCGAGTGGCGAGTGTGCGCCTACGCAACAACTACGAGCCATGTGCCGCGGCGTGATAATTTGCGATTCCCGTTTTAAAAAGCAACGACCGGCCAACGACTACTGGTTTTTTCGTATCTCGACTAGGGCGATGCGACGGGGGTGTCGTAACGCGCGTTCCGCCACGATTAAACAGTCTTTCCACGTTTGCGTAATTTGCACGCGGAACTGACGCGCTTGGCATTTCCAAGTCCATTAAGATCGTAGCCAGGGTAATTAGAAGAACAATGTATCTTGGTTCGTGAGTGGCGGATTAAGCGGCACGACCATGAAAGAGATTAACCGCGGGGAGCGGTTCTTTCTGGAACGGTAACTTATAAGCCGACCACGTACGCGCCAATCGTCCGGACAGGCGGGCGAAAGTCGCCGCGAAATTACGCTTAGGGAAAAAGCGCGCGATACCTGGAAATCACGTTAGGACGTACGAAAAATTGCAACTCTCCGAGGGAATAATTCAAGCAAACTCACCTGGTACGCTGGTCTCGCGTAACGGTGCATTACGGGCACGGTATATTTTACGATCCAGAGAAAGGCTGGCCCTCGGTGGAATAGCCACGCATACCGTCACCGTCGTAAAATATCGCGCGAGCTTAATTAAACGCAAACCCCTTTGAAGCGAGCCACCGAGTCGCACTCTCCTCTCGCCATTCTCTTTTCGTAACATGTATGTACTAGCCAGTATGCCTGCTAGCCAGAATCGCGTTCTTCCGAGTCTCCCATGTATCTCTATTGTTAACCGTGTGCCGTTTATCGTTCCTTTCCGCGAAAATCGCGTCTACCGGCGGTGGTGGTTTTTATTACGACTAGCGCGACGTTGACCTACAAGGGAGGAAGGAGGACCATGGAAAGGCGAAGGAGAAAGAAAGGAGAACGGGCCACAAAGGACAGGGCACAATGGAGTTTGCGGAGCATTGTTTGAGCATCTAGTACAATCCACTCGCGCCCTTCGTGTCCCCACTCTGTCGATCATTCGATCCAACCACAACTTTCCAGGGCTTTTCTTCCTCGCACTAGCAGAGTATGTAGTTGTTTGTAGTTTGTAGTTGGAGGCGAGTCGAACTCGGGTCAACTCGAAGGTCGCCGCGAGATTTTATCGTCGAAAATATCCTTCGGGGCTGAGTGGCGTGTTCAGAGTGCGGTTTTTTTAATGCTTCCATTGTGTGGTTCGCAGTAGGTCAAGCGTTTGGGGCTAGCAGGGATTTGAGTCGAAGAGGCCGGCCCTCGCGTCCACCACCGCCACCGCCACCGCCATCGCCAAGATACTAGTGACAACGCTAGCTCTCAAGGAATAAACGCCAGAGACACTTTGACGGATGTGTCAGACAAATTTGTTTCCTCTTTCTGTTACAGTGGCTGGTCTGAAGCTGCTTCGCATAAACGTCCCGGCGTACTCCTTTAGGGGCGAGAGCGCGCAACTCGAGTGCAGGTAAGGGTACTTGGATGCAACCAGCGTCGTCGACCGGCGGGCGCTCTGTACTCGAGGAGATTCTTGCTGGTCCGAGAAAAGGATCGATCGGTTTCTCTTCACCCCGTGGTTCAAAGCCATCGTGAAGACGTGACCACAATTCGACTTTCTTCCGAAAACTCGCGATGGACGTTGTTGATACGCGCGAGATGAATCGATAAATCTCCGGTAGGATGACAAAACGGAAGCAGGAGCGAGCTAGTCTCGAAATCGCAACGAAGAGACGGGTCGCGAGGACGGGTCGGACGGTTTTTCTTTCTTATTTACGGGGGAAGAAACCAGGCGAGAAGAACTCGTAAAGACATCGATAAGATGCTAGCCAATAACGTATCGAGTTTACGCTTAGCGGCCGAGCGAGACGGTAAATAAGATTAAAAATAAGACGAGGAGAAGAGGATGGATCGGCGGCAATTCCTTGGAGCTAGGAATCTCGATATCTTTCCGCTCTCCTCGCGCTTTATTTATTTATACTCGCAATATCGTAGACCGCAATCCGAGCAGGAAAGCTTCTTCTTACCTCTGTTGGGTTTCTCGCTCGAAAAAGATGCTTCCCTCCTCGAGGCAACCGCGCGCGTACGATCGTCAACTCCCGCGAGATCTCTTTCCAACTCGTTCGCAGTTGAAATCTTTACGCCTTCTCCCCTCTCGCTCGCGTTTGCCGGATTTCACCTAGAGCTAAAAGTCGAACGGTTGTTCGATTATCGCCCGAGGCTGCCGAAACTCCTAGTTGGAATTAGCGTTTCGAAACGGGTGTTGCTGCGTCGTCGATCTTCGCAGCAGACCGTTCACCCCGTTGCGTTGGGGTTGTCGTCTGGCCGGTAATTGCACGAGTCCAGTTAGCACGAAATCAAAGTTTCTTCCGGTAGGAAACGACGGGTTTCACCGAATCTCGATTAACCACGATTCATCGGAGGAGACTGGAAGGCCAGGATACCAGAGCAAGAATAGGTATATACCTACATAAGTACGTTCTTTTTAAAGGAACATTCGAACCGTGCACGATACTTGGAGAAGATAGAGGAAACAGTCGATACGCTTCGTTTCCAGCCTCGGATCTCGATACAGAACCTTGGAGCGCAGCTCACTTCAAAGTGCGAGAGATAGTGAATGGCAAGTGGAATTCTCGGAGATGCCTACAACTTCCTTCCTTCCTTCCTTCCTTCCTTCCGTCCTTCCTCAATCCCTTCCTTTCACGTACACGCGTGATCGTAATAGTAAAAACAACACCATTGGCTCAGCATCACCGCTGCTGACCATCGTCTCGGGAAGACGCGGAGAATCGAGCGAGTGTAGGTAGATTCGATCGGTGCGAGCAGGAAGGCGATATTAAAACGTTAAACATTATGCTCCGCTTTAAACGATGATATCTCAGGAATGGAAAGTCGTAACAGTATAAAACCAAAACCGTTTTAAAGAAGAGAGTTTCCCATTTCCCACCAGAGCTTATTACCATAGCCAAGTTATGGAGAACTTTGGAATAATAATCGTGGAAAGTTTCAGCGACTTTAATACGTTATTCCCATTGCCGCGAAATACACGCGTATCCCAACAAAATATGTGCGTTATACAGTGCTGCTACCTTTCCACGTAATGTTATACGATATTCCAGCTAATTACGGATAGAGAATTACAATTGTTTTCGGAATAAATGAAATCAGTAGAAATTTCAATAAACCGCGTTGCATCTGATAAGACGAAATGGTGGTATGCGAGCTTTGTGTGACAAAGCTAATTGCAAATGATGTAAAACGGGGGAGCATCAGCGGAAACGTGAAAACGCGGCGCATATTAACCGTAGTAATGCAACGGGTCCACCTCGATGATATTTCGTGAATCCTTAAGCTGTGAACGGGCGGGCGACCATGTTAATTAAGACGTAATGAAATTATGGCGTAGCATTGCGCGTCCTACAATTACGGCTAGTCGGAATATGCATTCTAATTAGTGACGCGGTGGCTCAACGACTTTTCACGAAGAAAATAAGGTCGACCGTTGGATTCTCGAGGGTACTTGCCAGGTGTATATCGCGAGAAACGTAAGAAACAGGGCGTCGAATGGCTCGACTCGACGATTTCAGGCGAAATCGGTTTTCGAGCGAACGTGTCATCGACCTCGGTCGCGAGATCGTTCGATTCTATCGCGGGAGACACGCGGCAAATAGCCGATCGATTGAATCAGCAGCCCGTTGATCCCCCGGCCACCTGTCGAGCGAAATCCCGAGATTAATTCGCAGGACACGAAGCGGAGCGTAAGATAAAGGTTTTCTCAATTTTCCGCTCTTCGTCGTTGATCCGACTGGCGCGTTCCTCGCGTCTTCTTAAACCGTCGATTATTTTCCAAGATGGAAGGGGATAATACCGATGGATGGGGAGAGAGAGAGAGGCGGCATGTACAAGGGGAGAAATCGTGTCGCGATCGTGCGTTATCGGATTACAAAGTTGAAAAGTAAAATTTGGTCGGGTAGCGGCGGCGACGGTGGGCGTGGCGTCCAATCGATTATCGTGCTTTGAAACTGAATAACTGGGGAACGTGGGGCGATATTGGATTCAAAGTTTTTCGTTATTCTTGCATCGCGATCGATTTATTTAGCCCCCGCGGGGCTCGAAATATTGCCAGGTTACGTTCACCGTTGTTTCTTCCTTTCTTTTCCTCCGACACAACCAGTCGATTCGAAGTAGATCGAGTCCGAGTGGGGGGCAAGTGCGAATCATCGCACCAATCGCCCCATCGACGCAACACGGAACCGTTCCCCTTCTATTTCCCCGTATCGTACGTTCAAAGCTACCGTATGCTCTCCACGTAACGTCGTAAACGAGATGCTGAAAAGTGCGCGAAGCGCCGACAAATTGGAGTGTGCGCTTTTCCACGATACCTCGACGAGGAATCACATGGAAAAGGGAGGAGGTGGAGGCGGAAGCTACTCGTCGCCTTTGCGCACACTTCCATCGGAGACTCGTTTGTTCCCTTAACGGGTATCGCGTCTTTTCCTTTTCATTCACCTCTTCCTCCCAGTTTTCCCCTTTCCTTCATAGCGTTATTTTCCTCCGCTCCTTGAAAACATTTCAACTCAAAGCAACCACTTGCCTCGACCAATTCTCTCTCTCTCTCTACATGTGCCAAAATATCGAGCCATTCCTATTCTAATTCCGTCTTCCTGGCTGCGAGCGCGTAAGGTTCTCACAGTGGCTGCTCCATAATCCAACGGCCGGAAGAATAAACGGGTATCGTTTCCTTTCCGTCCTTCGATTTTCACGCTATCACGGACGATCAGCGTCGAATTTTATTAAGTTCCGGACCGTTTGGACAGTGTGTACATCGGTAAACATGGTTTCTCGAGTTGTCGCGACGATCGTGCCGGTGGTGACGGCCGCTTTAAAAATAAAACGGAAAAGGATTCCGTGCGATGCGGGGCGAGAAACGAAGACGACTACGACGACGAGTTGAGTAATTAACGAGGTTCGAAGTCGAGTTAACGTTTCGCTCGTAGAACTTTGCATCTACTACTCGTAAACTCGAAGTCGGCGTGATTTATTCAAACGAAGCTAGACTTGGCGGATAGCGTCCATTCAGAGACTCTCGTATTCGATCGAAACGATCGTTCGCACGGTGAGAGGGAGAGGAGATTGGGGAAACGCGTCGTTTGTTGGGCCGGTCGGAATCCTCGATTATCCTGGCGGAGAGAGCGTTTTCCTTGGCAGATGCAGCATATTCTGTAGGTGGCGGGAAGGAAAGGGTAGAGGACGAGTTGGACGAGAGGAGGTGTACAGAACCGAGTTCTTTGATATTAGGTGCCAGTCGAGCGCCGGGACGGCAGCGCGACATAGCAAAGAGACGAGATCGTTCTCCGACGCGACGTAGGTATAAATTGCAAATTAGTTTACCGTCCCCGGTGAGAGCGCTCGCTTGTTGGTTTATCCGGCGTGTCGGCCTCTTCTCTTCCTCTTCACCGTTCTGTCCCGTACCAACAAGCATCCCGCGCTACGCGAACAGACAACCAGGCAAAGTCACTCGGTGATTCGCGACCAGCTATAGACGCTTCCTTGATTTCACCATGGAAATTCCATGAAATTTCACAGACGACAGAGATCGCGAGCGGATTCTTTCGAGCGCGACTAACGCGCGCCGTCGTAACCTTTTCAACGGAATCTTCGACTCGGACGCGACGTTCTGTTCAGAAGGCGGGAAGCATCAAAGAGGCGTTTGTTTCCGATGTAGGTACTGCAGACTCCTTCGCCTTCGCCTTCGCCTTCTCTCTTGCGTAACTTTTCCCGGCCTGGGAACAGCCTCCTTCGTTAGAAATCCCCGAGCTTTCCATTATTCCCCGGGGTAGATAGTCGAACGCGCACAAAACGCTTTCTTCGATTCTCGTTGGTGGGAGAATCGGTGGATAGGTGGGTAGGAGGACGCGGCTTTCGGCGAATTCACGACGTCAAAGGCGCCTTTATGCGCGAACGAAACGAAGAATTAGTTGCGACGCGTTCCAGAAAGCTTCCTGCGCCGTTGGACCGAACGTCTTTCCGTTGGCGGACAATGGAAACGCTGCTGGATATAAAGCCTCGTCCCGGTCGTGCATTATTCCCGCCGCTCGGAAGTCCGACACGTAATAATTTCATGAAAGAACAACGAGGTGCTAGTTCCTCTTCATCTCGGACGTGGTCGTACACGCCGATCTCTTCACGCTGACGGTGGAGCGCGCATACTCGCGAGCAACCAGTCGAAACAAAAGATTTTTGCTTTGCCGTCAGACGATGGGGGCTTTTAGAGCGAAGAATCGAAGAAAGATGAGAGAACGGGACGCGACGGAAGAGAAAATTGGAAGGGTCCATACGGAAGGGAAAGCTGGAAAAGCCGGCATGCGGCACAGAGAGGAAAGAAAATGGAAAGGCGGAGCGGCGTGGCGGGGGGAGGGAGAGAGAGAGAGAGAGAGAGAGAGAGAGAGAGAGGAAAGGAAAGCTGCGAGTGATGGGGAGGGAGTTCCCGCAGGACACGACCCGGCAAATGAGCCGGAGGATGCAAATCAATCCCACGACGCAGCCCTCCAAATTGTGCACCTACGCTCGAATGCGGCAATCCCTTTTCCGGTAGCTGCAGCTGGGAACTAGGGAGCTGGTACGGCGACGGCGATGGCGACAGCATCGCTGCCTGCCAGTACCCTCTCGCCTCGCCATCCAGCCAACCCCCACCGATGCCCCCTGGGGGTACGTCGATGCGACCGTCGTGTCGCTCTGCTGCTCTACAACGGTGCAACGATCTCGCCAACCTACATATATGTATATGCACCGAGCAACGGGAGCAACCGGCTAGTCGGCCAACAGACAGTGTACAAACGTCGCCCCGTCGTCGAGGACGATGCCGGGATACAACACCTTTCCATCGACGTATTCCATCCAGCGTAGCCGTACAACTACCTTATCGTACTCTTCTCCGATGCGCGTCCCGTCGCGTCGCCTCGTCTCGTCTCGCATCCTTCTTTACAACCAGAGGAAGGAGAGGATGCTTATATACGTCGAAACGTAATCGAGCAACTCTGCTGGAACGCAATTTAACGAGTTAGAATGCGAGACGAACAGGCAGAGGGGCGAAGGAGGAGGAGGAGCGACGACGGTCGTGTAGATTCTGAAAAGCGATTGCAACCGAAGGCAGGCAAGGTTCACGCGCGACAACGGCGAGGAACGGAATCCACGTCGAAGATAAAATTTAATTGTCGGTAAACGTGCTGCTCACGGTTTGACTAGCGGGCGCGACGGACTGCTTTGTTATCGCGAGGAGGGAGAAAAGAGAGCCGATTACTGGGCCGACGGTGTAATCAAATTCGAGGAGGAGGAAAATCCCTCGAATTACCGCGACGAGTTTTCCAACGGGCAAGTTTCACCTAGCATTAACCCGTGGTCATTTCACGGTGGGATACGGTCGAAGCTATTACGGCGAGAATCCGAAAGGACGACAGGCGACGCGCCGAGTGTCGCCGTCGTCGTCACCGCCAAACGCGAGCGTAACCGTCGCGTTAGTTTAATTACTCTGCGAATATTAATTATCAGGAGGGTTATTCCAGTCAGGAATACACGCGGTCGATCTCTCGGTGTCTGGCAGTCGAGCGAGGGATAGCCTGTTGCGCTTTGCCATTTTATCGACGATTCGATCCTAAGCGTAGAAAGGCTAGAGCCGCACCAGTTGGTAATCGACGATTAATAGGAGTAGAATTCGATCCGATCCGATTTCGTTGGCGAAAGGGAAACGAGAACGGTGCGGCGCGGCGTTTTGGTCCGTGGGAGATAGGAGAAACCGCGCGTTCGCTCGGCAAATTTTCCACCTCCGGACCTCTTCGATTCCGTCGAATCGTAATTATCCAGGGCTAAAAGATTTCCGGCTCGAAACGCGAACGAGAAGAGAATCCCCCCGGGGAATTTTTCGTTTGCCCGTTTCGTTAGGAGGAGGACCGACGAGCGGAGGAAAGGACTCGATTAGCAAATTGATGCGATTCGCGGATGTTGATCAATTATCGTAATTGTTGTTCCTTCTGGTTGGTAGGTTGTCACGCGACAGTGGCCCGTCCACTCCTTCGTGCCGGTCCCGGGCATTGTAGCAATCACGTTAAAGCGCATACCTATGAGCTACCGGGCGAACACGCTCTCCTAGCACGATTCGCGATATGTACTATACATATACAATATAGATATGTGTATGTATGTAGGTACACGCATACTCCTGCTGTCTCGTATATCCTACCGCCAGACCTGATCGCTTTTTATCCCTTTTTCCAGCCTCTTTGCACACCAACGACAAACGCTGTGGCGTTTCTCGAGCTGGACGACGATGCGTTCGATATTTCAGACGAGAGTCCTCCTCTCGAGCTGTTGTAAAACGGCGGGGGGTCGGGTCGAAACAAAACGAGACACGCGCGCGACGGGGCAGGAGACCGGAGAGACCGATATTTCGCGGAATATCGGGTAAACGGAAAAATCTCCGATATGTAAAGCAAAGAATACGTCGAACGGGCTCGATATTCGAAATACATTGTCGGAAACGGGTAACAGTTTCCATTACTCGCGCGACCCAGCCATCGCTCGACGCTCGACGCACGACCTCCGACTAATCGAGAAACGATTCGAGGTTCGTGCACGTCCCGACTACCGTTTCATCTTCCTCCGATCGATATTAACCGGCAAAGAGAGGGAGAAACGAATTCTCGTCCATCGAATAATACTTTGATAATTTCCCCGAAGAATAAATTTAGCGCGTCGTTTGCTCTCTTGTTTCAGGTACGACCTACAGGGGAAGACGCTTTACTCTATCACGTGGTACAAGGATCACGAGGAATTCTACAGATACGTGCCTAGAGAGGAACAGGCGAAGCACAGCTATTCCGTGAAGGGCGTTAAAGTTGACGTGAGTTGAAAGCCCTCTTGTGTCCCGTAACGTCGCGTAGCCTTGTTCCGACTTTGTTGTCTGATCTCTCCGCATTGCCGCGTTCCTCACGCTCGCGCCAGCGACATCCACCGGTGCCAAAGTCTTTCCTTTCATCCCCGTGCCGATTAACCGGCTCGATCTCCCACTGAAAGTCGCAAACGGTTCCTTCCGACTGTTCACCGAGAGAAACGAGAAGAAGAGGAGGTAAAGGCGTATAGGAGGTCGTACCAGGGAGATTTCACGTTCGGCAAACTAACAAAGCGAGAGCAGCATCGACAGAAATTCCATTTACGAGAGGGGCCTCCTCTTCCACTGCCGCCGACGTCGCCGCTGTTGGTAAACGTACAGAGGGAGAGAGCGCAGTTACCCGGTTCTTTTATCTCGCATCCAACTTCAATATCCAGCGTATATAGACTTCTTTGTGCATTACGAGATGCGCTGAAACACGCGCAATTACCTTTGCGAATGTGCGTCGGTGGATCGATGTAAGGTAAACAGCAAGTAAACGGTTTTTCGTCGGTGCACGACCTCGTGAGATTGCAAATCCTCACGGTGGTGGTTTTCGTGCCAAATTATTCCTCCATGTTTTCATCGCGCGAACAACAGCCGTGGAAAAACCTCGTTTACGCGTGCGTGCGTGCGTGAGTGGGCGAGAAACGGTAGTCCGCGTGAAGTTGGCTCGACGATCGTAAAGGTGTCCGTTAGTCTGGCCGTGTGCAACGAACGAGCAGACGAATACCGCCGAGGGAGCGGAGAATTCGTACTTTTGCGAGTCTCGCGAGAAAAGGGAGACGCGTAAAGTGTAGCAGTGGGGTGGAGAAGAGTAGTAGTCGAATATTGAAGCGTTCCGCGTCGCGATAACCGTAAAGTCCCGACTGCTATTCGGTTGCTCGTTTCGACACCCATGCCGAACGCAATTGCGCGCGGTTCCGCGCTCGACCGCTACGCTGGACGCGCGCGCAGGACGGAGAGCTCGAGACGAAAGAGAAGAATCGCGCGCGTTTATTCGCGGAACGATCTTCTTTGGCATGCGACGCGAGACGGTACCGCAGGCAAAAGACGTAAGAGAGAGCCTTCTATTCAATTTCCCGTTTGAATTTTATTCGACGTCGCTATAAAAGTATTTCATCGAGCCGGTAGGAGTGGAAGGAACGAGGGCGGGGATGGGTAGGGGAGGGAGGTAAAGCATAAAGTTGCCGATACGTTTCGATATACGTGGACGGGTGTGCACGGGTGCGCGGGCGCGTTGTCCCCGCACGGCCGGAACGAGGTCGCCTTTATCGTCCCGAATAAATGTTTGACGAATCGGGACGACTCGGGGCGGGAGAGAGGAGATCACCGGCGTCTGTCGACGCGAAGGGAAAAAGAAGGCATTAAGGAGACGACGCGCAGCATCGATTTCTCGGATCGCGCGATGCGGTCCCGCGGCGGCGGCGGAGGTCGAGGAGGAAAAGTCGAAGCGGATCGCGCGAGCTTCGTCTATTCTCGGTACGATACGTCCGCTTCCGATTCACGTTTTGGAAGGCACGAAAGTTCCGTTTTCCTCCACGCTCGTTAATATCGGCCGACGCGTAACGAGCATTACGTGAGTCGAATCGGCTCATCCCTTTGCCCCGTCCTCGAAATCGAGCAACCTCCCAGAGAATCACAGAGAGAGGAAGAGAGAGAGAGAGAGCATGGCTATTAATCTGGCTCGGTCCAATGGCTCTTCGATATCGACAAAGAAATTTCTCCGTGGACAAAAGCGAGCGTGTCTTTTCACCCTCTCCTCTCCCGATCTGCGAGACCCGGCCATTCCTCCGCTCGGATACGCTCCCGTGACACTTATTGGAGTAGCAGGAATTAAGTGGATTTAGCGGGCAGACTCGTATATTTCTACTCGGGGCTCTCGACTTTTAATTTTCCCTCTCATTCGCCCCTTTGCTCCGTTACGTAACGCCACTTAATTTCGCTATCTGAAAATTTTAAATCGTCCCCCTTCCCCCCTGGTTTCCCCGACATTTATTTAACTCTCTCTCTCTCTCTCTCTCTCTCTCTCTCTCTCTTCCTCTCTCTTCCTCTGTGTGCCAGTAGCCGCTGCTCGCATCAGAGGAAAAGAGGAGAAAGAAGAGGTGGAGAAGTAGTAACCACGATTACCCACGGGCTCCCGAGTTTCGCGGCAAACTAATCGACGACGAGTAGCGGCGATTAAGATTCTTACTCGTCGCGAATGCTCTCAACGGCTGCTGGCTGCTGGAGCCGTTTTCACCCGACGTCCGACCTCTCAATAATCCGTCCTTCGTTAATTCCTTCCCTCTTCCGACTAAAGACCGGAGGAAGATCAGCGGTCGGCTTTAAAGTTGTCTTCCGAGACGAATCGAAGAAGCGAATTTTTCCGCGACGATATTTTCCTCACTCTGCTCCCCTCTCTCTCTCTCTCTCTCTCTCTCTCTGTAGAGCTTGTTGAACTAGTTTAGCTAGTTTAGAAGGAGACAGGAGGACACGGTCCTGTTTTCGTTCGCGCGGGGACGCGTCGAAAACGCGCGCGACGAAATGCCCCGGGGTGGAGAGAAGAACGGTCGATGCGATTGTAGCTCGCACGAAACGAGTCACGTTTTATCGGGACGCGTCCGTCGACGTAGCGACGTGCCGCTGCGTCTCTCGTCGATCCGAGGCACGCGTTCCTCTCTCTATTCCCCTCTCTGTTCCAGCTGAGGACGACCTAAATCGCACGGTCGAACGGTCGCCGCGTTCGCCGGACGAAATAACCCCCGAAGGTAATGCGATTCCCGCGAACGTTTCGACTTGCCTCCTTCTCTTGCTCTCGTCCCTTGTTTTCCCGCAACTTTTCTCGCCCGAGCGTAAATCGATTTGCCGATCAGGAAAGTTTGCCGCGTCCGACCGTCTCTCGGAATAAACGTCGACGTTTCTACGCGCGCAAGCTGAAAAACTTGCGCACCGTTCTCACCAGCCAGAAGAGATTTCGTTCGATTCTCGCGCTTGAGGCTACGGTTCCTTCCTCTCTTTTATCTCCTAAGAGACCGGAGACTGTACGTAGAGGAGTAACGAGCGAACGATAGAGCGAAACGGGAACGAACGGAAGAGGGCATATTCGTAACGCGAAAAGAGCCGTGCTGTGGGGTAAATGGATTATCAGCGTCGCGATTCCATCTATTGCGGGTCTTCTCGTTTACTCTTCTTTCATTGTCCCATCTCCCTTTCTATCTCTCTCTCTCTCTCTATCCACCTACCTCTCTCTCATCGGCCACGCGGAAGCTATTTGCAAAGTGAGGGTCGGGTGTTTCATCCTCGTTGATAAATTAACAATCTCTGTGGCTTGCTTGAGACGAATTTAGGCGTTTCACGTGTCGATAGTCGTATTAGCAGTATCCCGAGCGTAGGGTAAGAGGTAGGTAGGGAACGTGCGTTGCTCCGTAGCAGCGTCGTCGGATCAGCGACGTATCTTTTCTACTTGCTTGCGGAACAGGTACGCTGTATCACCCATCTCGATGAAATAACTTTCGGTACATAGGGCCGAGTACCCTGGCGGCAACTATGGCAATAAATCGATATAAGCGCGTAAGCCTCTTACCCACCTAATAGCGTAATATTCTGTCTATGAAGAATAATTTGAAGCGGCGCGGTGTCTGGAAAACGCTATGGAGCGAGGCGGGA